TAGACAATCAACCATCCAGCGTCGATTTCCTGTTTGAACGTTTCATTCATATAGGCTTGAAATGTTGCAGGCGAGTTGCATAAGCCAAAGAACATGACTTTTGGCTTGAATAGACTGAATGACATGGAGAAGGCGGCCTTCCATCGATCGTCAGGGTGAATCAGGATGTTGTTGTATCCAGACCGAATGTCCATTTTGGTGAAGTATTTGGTGTCTTTAAGCTTTGCGATCAACGGGGGAATCAGTGGAAGCGGATAAGCATTCTTGATCGTCCAGTCATTGAGATAGTGGTAATCTTGGCAGGGGCGGAGGGTACCCCCTTTCTTTCCTACAAAGAAGAATCCACTTGATTGTGGCAATGTTGACGGTTGGATGAAGTCTTTTGCGAGATGTTCATCGAGAAAGGTTTTTACGGCTTCGGTTTCTTTCGGGGAGAGGGGGTACATTCGGGTGGATTTCGGTATGAATCCGGGTTTGGTTTCGATTCGATGATCTATGAGGTGTCGACTTGGGGGAAGTTGGTTTAATCCGTCTTTGGCGAAGATATCCCGAAATTCGTGGAGGTACTCGGGGACGAGTTCTTCGAAAGTTTTCTTGACTTTTTCCTGGACGTCCTTCATAGCGAATTCTTGTGCTTTGTTACTGGTTTTCTGAGTTTCCTCGAGCTGTTCATGTAGGGATTGGGCGAGGACCCAGGTGTTTCGTAATGGTACTGGTCTGCTGAGTTTTCTGATTTCTTGTTCGGATGTTCCATCCCATACCAGCGGGGAATCAGTGTCTAGGTTTTCTATCATTCGGATGGTTGTACCATCGAATGAATATTCAACTAGAACTTCATCATCTTCCAGCTGGTAGGTGGAAACATCGGTGACTGGTTCAGCAAGATCAATTCGTCCAAGCCAGGTATCCTCAAAATTGTCGAATATAGGGTCTGCCGGTTTGTTCTTTTCTGTGGTTGTCTTTTTCTTTCGTCGCCGTTTTTCTGCAATTTCTTCTAAAGCGTATTTTGAACCTTTGGGTAATTTCTTTAGGGGAGAGAAATCTTCAGGGGGTTCGTCAGTTACGGTTGCTTTTCGAATCGGGGAAAATCTGTAAGGTTCTGCCCTGTTTGCCTGTCGTTCGTCATTGATCATTTGTTCGATTTCTGTCGATCGTTTTGTCTGTGTTAAAGAGATGGTATCGTTCTTCCAATCGATCTCTGGTTGCATGGCAGAAAGCCATGGCTTACCGAGAAGGATGTCGTCATTCCTGGATAGTTTTGTGATGTTGAACTTCCCAAGCATGCATCACTGGTCGATTCTGACTGCAAGGGTGCAGTAATGTGTTACCCTCCCCGCAGTAGAGTTGCTTCCATCAACTGTTCGTATGTGGAAGGGGTCGGTGAGAGGGTAGGTGCTGATTTTATTTTTTCGGATGAAGAGGTGATCGATGAACGATCCTCCTGCTCTGGAGTCGATTATGGCGGTGGTGGCAATGGTTTTTGCGTACTTGGTAGAGAAAAGCATGATGGGAACACGGAATTCATTGGATTTTCCAACGGCTTTAGTATACAGTACACAAGTGGAAGGTGCTGACATTGTGGCAGCCCTTCAGTTCAAAAATCCATTCCTTTAGCCACTGCGATCTTCTGGGCTCGTATCTTGGCTACGGGCATTTCTTCGTCGTCATCTTCATCATCGAGCTGGGTAATCCCAGACTGTCCCTTTTCCTCCTTCTCAGGCATAGTCTGCCTGCTTTTCAACGCTCCTCATTTTGGATGGAATCTAGGGTCATTGGCCCTATGTCCTGCTTTCTTGCAAGTGAAGCAAAGTCCTTCCCTGAAGCATTTCTGCCTCTCTTCTTCATCCATACGATCAACGTCCATTGCATTTGGGTCTCTGGCTTATCTTTTGGGAGGGGTGTATCGGGGATTCCCATTTCTCTTTTGGAATCCTCCGTTGTTTCGTCCTTCCCTTGTGGTGATAGCCAACAGTTGTTGGTGGTTGTTGTCTAGGTCAACCGCTTTCTTTGAGAGCTTTTCGAATGTTTCAATGTCGTTATTGTTGATCAGGAGTCTCCAGCGGAGTTTCTTTTCTAGCCCATCTAAAAAGAATTCGCGGAGTGCTCCGTTATCGGTGATACCTCCTCTCGTAGTGAGTTGCCTGAATGAGGCGAGGTATTCTCCTAGAGAGTGGGTTTGTCGGAGGTTTCTTAACTCCGTAAGGGCTGTTCCTACGGAGTCTACTTCCTCGAATGCCTTTTTGAAGTCTTTAAGGAAGTCCTCGAGCTTGCCGTATTTTGCCGTATTGGTTGTGTCTTGGGCGTGTTCCATGAAGTCGTCTGCCCAGGTGGCAGCTGCCCCTTTTGTCATATATGACAGGTAGAGGACGATTTTTTTCTTATTGTTGTCGTAGATTTTCTCATTGACATCAATGTAGGCGGTGATGGATCTCATCCATCGTCCGGCATCTTTTCTATTTCCTGAGAATTTGGTGGGTGTGCCGATCCGTATTTCTGCCGGTTTGGCAGTGGTTCCTGATCCAGACATTGCTGGGTGGACGAGCGGGGGAATGGGTGGTCTGGGTGGGGGGTTCGTTCTTTGTGGAGAAGGAAGCAGACGAAAGTCTTCATATTCTGATTCGACGTCTTCTGATGCGGATGATGGGTCTGATGGTGTGGGTGCTCTTTCCCAAGTGTGACGAGGTCTTCTCGACGCTATCTTTTCTGGTCAATAGTACGCTCCCGCGATGGAGAGGCGTTCGGGGTAGAAACTTGAATCTTATGTTACGAACTCAGTTGGTTCCGCACTAGATACCCGCAAGGAGTACTGATCTAGTGTTGCGACGAGTTTCGAGAGAAGACTACTAGACGGAAAGTCTAGTAGAAGATAGTGTAATAGTGATAGAAGCGATGAGGCTTGCTATCTAGCTTTCGTGCTATCCCTCTGTCCTGAGGCTTTAGGCGTGATACTGAGTAGATTCAAGTTAAGGACTACTACAGTGTACGGAGTCCTTTATATACGAAAAGCAGAAGATACCGGTTGAACGGTAAGGGTCAAGGGTAATACTGACAATGCGGTAAGGGCATAGGGTATGAGTCAGAGATAACGGATAAGCCAGATAGGCAGTGCGAGAATGATCAGCCAGTATGGATAAGCCAAGCAAACGGTAAGATGGAAGTCGCTTTAGCAACGGATAGTGGTAATGAAAGATAGGCAAAAGAGAATAAGCTAGTCCGAGGGGCTTATGTAACGTCCCTGTAACAGGTGTTATACTAGGAACAGGTGATGGCAGAGACCCAGCAGGTGAGACTGGTGTGCTGGCAGCCTGGGGTTGTTGTGTAGTGGGGTCAGTTAGGGCCTCAGCAGCAGCTGCAGCCTCAGCCGATATTGTCTGGGCATTGAAGCTAGTTAGTTAAGAATGTTGTAGAGTAATTGTCATGAATGTTACCAACTGCATCTAAATTTCGATTATCGAACCCTAAGTCACCTTATCCGATAAGATTAGATTAGATAGATCCCTGATAAGATAAGATGGATAACCGATTAACGATCACTATCTTACATCACATCTATACTATATCGACGTCATCCATCCTTATCTGTAACCCTAGACATACGAACTCATCACATCCTTAGAAGTCCTACGATTAGGCAATGGGTTACATCATAAGCATCTACGTGCCTCTATGATCAAACCATAACCGAGAGTCCCTTACGAGTTATCTCTCGAAGAAGTCATCATCCCTTCATATCGCACACCTTCACTTTTCATGACATGTTAAGAGTTACCTCTGTCATTCACCAAACCCCTTACATAAGAACCTGTTGCACAGTCACAGCTAACCCTGAAACCTTATCACAGAAGCATCGCTCATAGAGAAGCATGTTCATTACCAAAGACCCTGGAGAACCCTTAGATCCGATCATACCCGATACATCTCCAGATCCAGATCCTATCTAGATCCTTAGATCTAGATCCTCAGATTCCATCTCTAATCGAGATCCTTAATTACCGCTCAAGACTTCTTGTCACAGAACTCTCTCACACCCTTCTTAATCTCCGTTCACCCTGAATAGAAGCAGTCCCTGAGAACCCTGCTTAATCACCGATACCCTTGGCCCTATGAACCCTTTACCCTTCTCTTCTTGTAGTTGATTGGTTGATAAGACGCCCTATACCCTAGGTGCAATGTTATGACCGTATATAGTTATATCACATACCTTTCATACTCAGATAGCTCCGTCCCAATAAGTAGTATATAATCTAGGTAGTAGTCAGTAGTACTCCTTAGACTTAACCTCCTCGTTTCTACATCATTGTAGGGCCTAGACGTTCCCTCTCAATCCATCTCGCTTTATCTTCTTCAGACTGAGTCCTGTGGTGTGATTCCAACTCCAGACACCTACTAGTTAGGTTAAGGGACGTGGGTCATAACAGCAATGTATTCAACACACCTTACAATGTGCAGTTGCCATACGCATGTTGTGTTGTTTCCTCATCAAGGCAAGGTCGTTGTTGTTGTCAACATCATCATCACTCAAATCAACAGCGACAAGGCCCCTCTTGTGACCAAAAACCACCCTTGATAGAATCAGCACACCAGATCAATGTAAGACAGAGCAAGGATACTCAACTTGTTCCACCATTCAAGCAGCGATGCTGCCCACATTTGATCTGGTGCATCTCGCATTGCTTTGATGAGTCGGGTATATGCCTCAGGATAGTAATACATGCCGTCAGTCTCTACCCATTTATCATGCATGGCAATACTGAAGCGACTCTACAACATCTCTTAGATAGTGGTATAAATAAATTCTATTGCAGCACACACCTGGATGGATGCATATGCAATATGCTCAGTCATGACCTTCTCCATGCCATGTAATTTGGCATTACCTGAGTGGATCATGTTTGCATCTCCATCAGGGAGGAGTGCAGATGATGGGGAAGTGAATATGTGACAGAAAACATAGATACATGAGACTTTACTGACAAGAGAAGAGGAGATACTCACGCGCTTCAAATAATAACCTTGTAAAAATCCTTCTTGAACACTGTCTGGGTCAAATCTGTGCTGGGTGGATCACCTGCATATGCAAATGTAGGCCATGCGGCCATCTGCATCTTGATCACTGCGTTCTGTAGTTGGGCTTGTACTCTAAAAGTCACTGATGAGATGGTTGGGTATTTTGAAGAATGTGTACGTACTTTTTTGGATCTTCATGAAATGCTTTGACATGCTTGATAGGACACAGCAGCACTGCAAGTTGGGGGTGATTAACACCAAGTTTAGCACAAAATTTGTTGTCAGTAAAAATTGTAGGGCTCAGCCCCTCATCTGTAGGCCTTGGGGTGGCATACTGTCCAATGCAAGTTTTCAGGTGACTGGTATCATCTGACCGTACCTGACTCATAATGCCCTGCATCTTTAAGTTCTTGGAGCTCAAACATAAGGTGAAGTGCATTTATGTAAAGGCTAACCTTGGTCAGGACATCCAGTAGCTTGGACTGTTGTTTGATGCTTCTGTATGCAAGTTTGCGCAGATATGGTGCTCCTGCTAAGATCTTTGTAAAGTTCCTCATATGCTGTTCTTGGGAATCTTTACTTCTGTAAAGGAAATGTTATCTAGCAGCTGAAGACAACAAAACAAAATGAAGCACTTACATCAGAGACAAGACTTCCTTCCTCTGTGCCTTGACCAATTCATCATCTGGTTTATCTGACACCTGGGCAGCCTGGTCCTCTTCCATCAACATGGCAATGTGGAACATATCATTCAGGATGCAGAACATGTCAACAGCCCGAGGAATCCAACGTGCAAAATGCAAGCACTGTTCCCATGGAGCAATATTGCCTTTTCTATTGTATAAGGTGAGCTATAATGCGGCATTGCACTATTGAGTATCAAGTTGGCATGCCTTTTATTATTTACCACCACCCTATCAGTTCAATGGATCAGGTCAGTTTCCTCATGTTATTGTAAAGCCTAAGCATCACAGTATGCTTACTTGATGTGCTTCTTGGTGCCCTTTTTGAACGTAGCCTTAGGGTTTGGAATTGGAGATGATAAGGCGGTTCCATCTGATATACTAGAGGCTGACTGGGATGTGGAATCACTGTCTGACTCCAATGGCATTGCTGGTGATTTGGCTGGCAGGCCAGAAACTTTGTGATGTGGTGTAGGGAGTATCCCTATGCTAGGCTCGTATCCACCACTTTTCCGATGCATCAGGCGTCCATCCAACATCCATCCAACACCTATCCATTCCATCCAATACACATCCGCTTTTCGGATGACATGCGGATACCTTCGGATCTCCCCCTATAGCTCGCGCATCCACCGCATCTGTCCTGTCCACGTCCATTCTACCTCATTGGTACGTACTCACACACATTTTCTTGTTACTGACTGAACACAGACATATCCTCTCACACTCCAGTATTTTTCGGATAGCTTATGGCACGGTCTAGACTCGCTACCTATATATCTATGTTCCTTGAAAATACTGTACCCTATAAGCATGGAGGGTTTCGAAAAATACTTACTTCATGTAACTTCCTCCCACTTTTCCTACACCTTACCAGAAGGTCACTTTGACTTATACCCACTATTCATCCAACCTTTAATGAACTTCCTTTGACCTTGATTCGCATCCGGTCCAATCTGCACGTGCCATCCGCTCCATCCGACGAATCCATACGTTTCGCATCCTATCCATTTCATCCGCTTTTGCGGATCTTTCATCCTATAGGGTCGCTTTAGACAGAGACTAGTATTCCCCAGTAGCAATCCCCTTAAGGGTCGAACGCACTTGTTCCCAAGCGAGGCAGCAGGCAGCAAAGACCCAACTGTGTAGTAGATAGATTTCACTCCGCTGCACTTGTTGTACCCACAGCGGTATGAATGGAAGGGGAAGAAACTCAAACTCAAATGTGTGGCTCACTCATTGTGCAAGGCAAGATTGCCGTTCCTTCAATGGCGTCATATAGCTCAGGAAAGGGATAGCTTGGATTATAGAGCATCCAAGACATACATCCAACTACTATGGGAGTATAGCCTGACTCAAAGTGCCTGTAAATAGTAATACTTTGGGGGAAACTTGGCCCAGGCCAGTACCCCCAACAGTGTTCCTGAAGCTAGGTTAGAACTAGAGTAATAAAATAATTTGGATCATTATCTTGACATACAAAAGTGTGGAGTAACCAGTCACTAGTTATAAGTCTGGTCCTGAAGTTTAGTCAACAGGCCCATATGGACAATGCCCGCAGAGCTTGGTTGATCAGGAGACTTCAGATTTATGAGATCTGCCCAGGGTTCAACATTATACAATTCAACATCAAGAAGATAAATACCCATAATCCACCGCTGCTAGTACAGTTGAACTTTGGAGGACCCAAGAAACATGTCATTCAACCATCCCTCTGCTCAGTTCAAGTTTGAGGCTCTCAGCAGTGTCAGCACAAGCCAAGACTTGGAGGACGATGGCTCGAGGAGCGCCACTCCAGAAAGCCACAAAGCCGAGTGCATTGGATATCAATCACATGGGCAAGGTGCCCCCTCATATTCCTGTGGACATTATAAGTACAGCAGAAGTGAAGGGTTCAAATGCTCCCAACCTTCACAGCCAGACCTAGAGACTTCAGACAAACTACTGGAGCAGGTAAGTCATCTGCTGCTGATTATGCCTAGTTATTCTGATGGTCCAAACTGTATGAATTGGAAGCCAGTCAGGGCCAGAGAAAAGGCTCTGAAAATGCTGATAAGTTACCATCTCATCCAAAGCGAAAGAGATCTGACTCAAATGATGTGCGTGAGCCCAGTTTCAGTTAGTTTTGTCAATGTCAGTCTTTTGAATTTCATGCTCACGCTTCATGTAGACACTGAGCAACTTTAGCAAGGACCTGACCAATGTACAGGCAGCATCAATGCCAGCTATGGAAGTACTGTGGAAGCGCAGGAAGCTAGGACAAGAATCCAAGTTTGACTGTCGGGAATCACTGGCATTGGCTAAGGTTGCAGGCGATATAGCAGTCATGATTGAAGCTGTGAATGTGATTCGAGAGGCTGTTGATAAGCAGAGCAGAATTCTTTTGGAGGTCTGCAACGCTATTGAGAACCATGGGATGTGAATGTTGTATTGTACTTGATACAACAGTGTAATAGTAACAATAGGTGCCAGCCCTTTCAGATAGTATGTATGCCGAGACAGGGAGATGTGAATGAAATGTATACAAAGGGAGAACAACGATACCTTTGAGATTCTAGTCTGAGTCTGAGTCCCAGTCACTAGAATCCGACTCTGTGTCAGTTCCTCTCAAACCTCTGGCGAACTTGAGCACCCAACCAGGCTCTTTGTTTTCCAAGACTTGGAATGAGGAGTGAGGGAAGAACCAAATATTAGATACTTGTCCTGGTGTAATGCCGTCTTCAGTAATACCAGGGAGTGGCTTCCATGGTCCTATCCCATGGTAGAGGGCTCCACCCATGAAGATTATGACATCCCCAGGATGGTATCTAGAAAGAATGAGCCCAATAAGCTGTGCAAAGTGAAAGGCTTACTTGAGTTTGAGCTTGAGATCGGTGATGTAACATTCTCCGCCTGTAAATTTACCCATGTTGAAGATGATAGATGGACCCGCATCTAAGCTGTCCTGATGGGGCATGACTTGTAGTTTCCACACCAGGACTCTTCCAAGGAGGGGCCCTGGATCAGTTTTTTTTTTTTTTTTGATTCCATTTATGTCCATTGAGAGATGACTCTATGTAGGACAATATGTGCTAGTCTAGGGACATCCATGTCCCGTCGCACCTCTGTAGTTGCGAATGCCGCAATGTGAGATGTGCCCCATCGGTCCGCCGTTCCTGCCAGCCGTTTTAGATGCGCACTACTTTGAAGATGAGATGACTTATAACTATGCGATAATATGTATGGTAGCTGGTGAGTAACTGAATGCGTTTCTCGTCTGCAAACACAGAATGATACAGGAAGCTGTGAGGGGGCAGATGGGGTAAAAGTGGGTTAGTGGATTTGATGAGAACCTGGTTTATGCCCTGAATATGACTGATGCCTCGTCGATCTAAGTGTTTCCAGTGTAAGCGAGGTGGGAGTGGAGGTGGTGATGGGGTGATTATGATTGGATTAGTGGTACAGGGTGTAGTGTAGGACAGGGTCTTGTTGATGGTGTTTCGATCTATGTGTGCAGTGCGTCAATTCTTGTGTTTCCCAGATGTGGGTACCTCACCGAAGATAACTTTCAGGTGTTTCGTAGAGTTGACGAAACGAACCATGTGTTCTACAGCTTCCGAGTCGGTCAGGAGATGGGGGATGGAAGGACGTGTCCCTCCCTAGATTGCATTGCAGGATATGGGCACTCTCTGCGATATTGCTGTGCATTCTAATAGGAAGTGATGTACCATGTTCCTCTGTTTCCAGGCAGTGAGGGCACATAGGGCTAGCGGCTTTGTGGATGCGGTGCAGGTGTTTGTTGAGGGGGATGTGTTTTGATCGGAGGTTCATAAGGAGGCCGGTGAGGTGTTTGGGGAGCAGAGCGTTGAGTTTGATGAATGATCTTCGAATGACCTGCGGGTCGAGGCATTGCATGTAAGCATGACGGGGTGATTTGGTCCATAGTCGCGTCCAGCGGGCGTGCGTTAGCTGAGAGTGAGCTTGTTTGATGGCGGATATGCTGAGAGGGAGGATTCCTTGGCGTAGATAATGGGGTAGTTGACTTTTCTTGCTGTTGTTCCGTTTGCCTGTGGCTGCTAATTTGGCTTCCTTGTCAGCATGTTTGTTGCCGTGAATTCCTTCATGTCCTGGTGACCAATGTATGGTGACGTCAAAACCTGGATCAGTTACCATCCAATGGCCAGTGAGAAAGGCAGCTTCATACTTGGCATAGAATGCTGGAAATGATACATGGAACATTTCTCCCAACAGAATGGCCAACTCTTGGGTGTCCTCAAAATATGCATGGACATGTAGGGCTCCATGAGCGTTAGAGACCATGTCAGCCAAGGGATGAAGGCCGTGCTAGAAAATGCATAAGTAACATAGAGGCAGGATAGATTACACTCACAATGATAGGATCATGGGCCTGATCTGGCCATGTGTGTACTAGGTGTCTGGCACCAGTACGCTCAGATGCAACAGTATGGTCTTCGTAGATGTATTCAGTACCTGCATGGATAAAGCTCCTACGTATGCCATCTTCATGTGGGTCTTCCAAGTCCTGAGTGCCATCAACCTTAACGTATTGCAGGAGATGGTATTTCTGGCCATGGTGTCCATCCCAGGGGCTTTTATGGATGTCTATGTGGTGGAGGAGGGTTTGTACAGCCACCATGGCCTTGGCAAGCACACTATCCTATCCTCTGCAGTAAGTTGCCTGTTATCTAACAGAATTACTGAAAACTCACCTGGATACCATCAAAGTATGCCTTTTCGCCCTCTTCGGCTGCCCAATATAAATTGTCAGAGGATCTCCCCATAGACGAGGGAGTGTTGGGCCCAGGAACAGTAGTAATTGTAAGCAAAGGGGCCCTGTAAGATTGGTGATTAAATCTATAAGTCATACCAATATTTCTTGCCTGACAGTCGACTCACCAATTTTGGAGCAGGCCCAGCACTGCCTTCGAGTAAAATAAGCCACCAAGGGCTGATCATGTTCATCAAGGAACATTCCCAAAGCTCCATTACTTTCCCAGGTAGACATCTCTCGCATAGTATGTTGAGCCGCGTCCTTGGCCCGGGCCATATTCTTGGGGCCCTCTATGAAGTCTTGGAGCCAGACACCCTTCATACGGTAGGTGGGAGTTTTGTCTTTCAAACGTTTTGCATCATGTGCAGCGTCTCGGCAGAACCACTTGGCCCATTGATTGTTGGAGAGAGTTTGGCGACAGACAGCTGGGTCTAGGAGGTGGGGATTTGGGTAAGGGATGCCAGTAGTTTTATTCAATAAGGTCTTGTCTTTGCCGGTAAGCTTGGAGGCTGCCTGTGACACCAATATGGGGTCCATTACAACTGTGGTGGACATGGTAGGGTGTAGGGAGGAGAAATGATCAGCAATGTGAATGTCTCCATGCTGTAATATAAACTTATGGAGTGAAACAGCAGGTACTTGATCCACAAGGCAGCAAATGAAAATGCCAGGTGCCAATAACTTGGCTACAGCACTACACACTGTTACATATCAGACACACTGCTGCTCATCAGTCGTCACATTGCACTGCAATTTGCAACTAGTCAAGGAAATGAAGATGTATTGGGAATATAAGATATTATTGCGCTATCATCAACAGAAAAGTGCAGGAATAAGATTACTGCCACACATCATCAAGGGCTGTGGTACCAGACATAGGCATCCCTGCATTAAATGCAGTCACAGATACATAGCTCTGCCGTGGCATTAAGTCAACAGTGCCAGTCAGGCATTCCTGTCATTACATGAGGCCATGTGCTTTGTAGCCATAGTGACAAAACTGTCTCCAAAATTCTTGATCGCTGTTGTGAGGGTACCTGTAAGTTGGAGTCGAGGAGCTGTAGGTCCCTGGCACAATGCTCGAGTCTAATGGCTGGAAGAAAGGGACAGAGACATCAGGTAACTGACTGTCGGGGAGCCTGTGGGTAAACCCGCAGGAACCTGAGAACTCTACTTGTACCTGCAGTATACCCAGTACCCAGTATACCCAAGGGTACCAGCAGGTACAGGTCTTTTGACAGGTGTTGTGATAGGTAAAGGCCAAGGTAACAACTGCTAAGTAGTGCGAGAGTGCAGGGGAAAGTGCCAGGAAGGTACAGGAGATCAGCATGCACAGCAGGAGGCCAAGGTTGAGCATGGTGGGAAGAGGGAAGAGGGAAGAGGGAAGAGGGAAGAGGGAAGAGGGAAGAGGGAAGAGGGAAGAGGGAAGAGGAAGAGAGAGACTGCAACAAGTCATGGCAGCAGTGCCCATGTCAGCAGGAGCTTGAGAAAGGTTGTGGCCAGGCATGCGGGGCAGAACCAGGTTAGCAAAAGGGTGCTGAATGGTTGCACAGTTGGATTTGACTGGGCAGCAGGAGGTTACAGGAGGTTGCCCTTTTGTGTGGGGGCTTGAACGTGCAGAGACAAGCTAGACTGAGCAGAAACAAGCAAAAACAACCAAGAATAGCTGAAAATGAGCAAAAACGAGCAAGAACAAGTGGAAAAGTACGCACCTAGATCAGAGACGCAGATGCAGATGCACTACCCTGTGACCTGCAGCGGGTTACCCGTACCCATGCCAACGCCTACCTGCTGTAGGTTTGCTTTGGCAGCAATGAAGTCAGGTGATATGGGTATGTGAAGTGGTGTCTTGCCTGGAGGTGTACTGATCAACAGCACAGCAGGATTGAATGCAAATGATGGAACATGCCTTGAAGGGTGATGAGCTGTGGGCACACCAGATCTCACACAGATCTCAATTTGCACCACAGCTCAAGCACTTGTCCTCAAGGACTTGAAGTGATGAAGACAGTTGCAGGTTGCGGACCATTGTAGTGTAATGTTCAAGTTCAAAGACAAAAGAGTGGGAACAACACCAACCATCACGTGATCATGTGACCTTTCAATGTTCAAGTTCTCACTTGAACTTGAACATTACACTACAACAGTCTGCAACCTGCAACCGTCTTCATCACTTCAAGTCCTTGAGGACAAGCGCTTGAGCTGTGGTGCAAATTGAGATCTGTGTGAGATCTGGTGTGCCCACAGCTCATTGCCCTTCAAGGTGTGTTCCATCATTCACATTCAATCCTGCTGCACTTGTTGATCAGTACACCTCCAGGCAACTGGGGAGCTCTGGCATCACCTCCTGCAGGGAGCTCTGATGGCCACCTTCCATTAGGTCCAGTTTTTTCTCCTTCTCTCTTTGTCTATCTACATGCTTCTCACTCACACCAGTTTTTCCTGCACTCGTGCTGCATGTCAACAACGTCTTGCATTTGCTGCAGCGCCTAACTCTACACCTCAACACTACAGTACTCTTGTCCCACCCATTGTACCTACTCGCTCTGCACTCTCCCCATGTCCCACCAGCACTCAGTACCTCTTGCCACCATTGCACACAGACTGCGTGTTTTTCATGCTAGCGCCTGTACTTAGTGCCAGCCACATCAGCACCTTGGCACCCACGCTGCAACTTGCATGCACCACACGTGTTTAGCTGCCCGTAACCCACACCTTACAGCACCCCACACCTTCACACACCGCTGCACCTTTGCACCAACATATGCCACCATACGCTGATACTCCCTCACCTGTGCCCCCTGCTTTTCACCACCGTTCAAACACTTTGCCAGGCCACATCACCAGTGCCAATACCAACACTTACTCCATCTGCAGCCCAACCTCATACCTATGCTGTATCGCTCTCACACACCTTGTACCATCTGCAACCCGGCCTCTACCCACTTGTCCCAATAATGCAATCACCCTCAAATGTCCACCACAACGACAACTGAATGCAAGGAAGGTAGACAATTAGAGGCTTAGGGCAGAAAGGTTTTCCTTGGTTTGTCTATCCTTGACCTTTGCCTATCACCCCATCTCCTTTCTCATTGTATGCTACCCATTTTGTTTCACCCTGTTCCACATTTCCCATCTACATTTCTACATTCCACCTCATGACACACTATTTGACACATTTTTCACCTACTGCACACTACACCCTCTATATACCCCGTGAGCCATGAAAAAAAATGCATAAAATACATTTGAAGGACACATTTATTGATGTCATCTGTTTTGATCTGGCCCAAAATAGATGCTTGAATCATGACTCTTCTGCCTGAGTTGTTGTCCCACCTCTTCAATTGTATTGCTCCTGTACTTCTCCAATCAAGATGGAGCATCTTTGCCTTGCATGTAGAAGGACCTTCCCCATGCAGAGATCAGCTCTCTGGGCATATTGCCCACTGCTTGCAGCCTAATCAAGCTCTCAAGCTCTCTGACATTTTACATTGCACCAGAAAACGGCACACATCTGAAAATGGAGCTAAGGAATCAAAATGGGCTTGGGTTAATGAGGAGGTAGAGAGGGATGATGAAGCGTGGGCAACAGATCATGGTGGGATGGAGGCAGATGGTGATATAGACATTAACCAGGTATGTTTTTTCTGGATTGTTTGAGCAGCAAATTACAGTACATTTCAACCAGTTTGAGGATGTTGCAGGTCTGCCAAACATTTCATGGCCACATTCCCCTCTGCCTCCAGCTCCTACTGTCACTTCAAAATGTTCTGGACGCACTATCCACATGCCGCATCGATTCATTGACTATCTTCCAGGCACAGCTACGCACCTCGCACACATGCCTCCAACCATCCAACAGCAACGTGCAGGCATTTTGAGTGACAGGAATACAGCCTCAGGTCACAGTGCTATGGCACCATCATCCCAACCCTCACCACTGCCCCCTAATCTACCTGATCCTCCACCCCTGCTCACCCCCTTTGAAACACAACCAGATACATTCGGTCTGTATAGCATATACCCAACTCGTCCCACTCTAGCCCCAGAGGTTGATCACACACTGGACGGTGTGACAGATGCTCCCACACTAGAGGGGTTACATGCTACCCTTCGCGAAGTACGCCTGGAAGTCTCTGCAGTAAATCAGTGATGATGATCTGTTTGGAGCATTCACAAACCCATCGTCAGCCCTACTGATGACCTGGCACTATTCTGGCAGTAATGCTAGTTCGGCAGCTGGACTCAATCGTCTGGCTGAGTTTCTTTGCAACCCTCGTTTCAACTCAGCTGACTTAGTTGGGTTCAGTCATGCACGAGAGATCAAACTGACTTGATGACTACCTCGAGCGTAAATCAAATCCCTTCTGCAAAGAGTATGGGTGGCAGCAGTCAACTGTCAAAATTCGCTTATCCAATGAGAGGGCCAAGTTTCCCTCAGAGAATGATGCCTCCCAACTTGAGATCCCTGGCATTTACCATCACTCTCTCACAGATATAATCACTCAAACATTTGAGGATGACATATCCACTAGCTTCAATATGACTCCATTCTGCCAGTACTGGAACACACCAGATAATTGAACTCTGGAAGTCTTCTCTGAATCCTACACCTCTCCTGAAATGATAAAAGCTTATGAAGAAGTGAATTCCATCCCACGAGATCCTGGTGATGACCTCAAGCACATTGTTGCCTCACTAATGGTCTGGTCTGATGCCACTCACTTGGCAAGCTTTGGCGATGCATCCCTTTGGCCCTTCTATCTATTCTTCAGCAATCAGTCCAAATATACATGAGGAAAGCCTACTGCTCATGCATGTCATCACTTGGTGTACATTCCCAATGTATGTACACATTACTTTATAAACTCACATTACTAATTATTTGCAGCTTCCAGATGATTTACAGGAGATCTATATTGATATATTCGGTGAACCAACCTCAAGCAGCACCTATACACACCTCAAATGTGAATTGATTCATGCCATCTGGGAGTTAATTCTTGATGGAAAGTTCATGGAAGCATACAAGCATGGCATTGTAATTTGCTGCAGTGATGGGATTACTGCTGAAGAGTATTCCCCTGGTTTTTCTCATATTCTGCAGATTATCCTGAAAAGTTAGTCCATCCCAACACACTGGTCAACTGAAATTGATGAATTACTCAGGATACTGCTAGCCAGCATCAAATTCTTGGGGCAGTGTCCATGCCCCTGCTGTCTTGTTAAGAAGTCAGACATTCACATGATGGGAATGACACTAGACATGAGGCTGGTGGGTCACACGGGAGCATATTGATGACCTGCGACATCAACAGCGAGTGGAAGATGCTCACAAATTGATCTTCCAACTTGGAGCTCCAGTAGATGGCAGTTAGCATCAAGGCAATTCTCAATGAGGAATCATATGTGCCAATTCGTGTAAGCATTGTTCCACAACCATCTATTTTACACTCACACTGACCTTGAACATTAGAACACATTTTCTCAATGATTACTCAACTACGGTATCAACATGTTTGCTGCTGTTTGTGGTTGATCAACTACATGAATTTGAGATTGGTGCTTGGAAAGCTATTTTCACTGCATCTGATGCGAATCTTGCATGCAGCTGGGGGAACTGCAGTACAGAGGCTGAATGAGTGGTAAGTCATGTATTTTGATATGCTGCATCTGTTTCCCTGCATCCATTATTCATATACTAACAACCTAATCAGATACAGAATGGTCGCTACCTTTGGTAGAGGCACAATTTGCTGTTTTCACTATAACACTTCATCCATGAAAAAATTGGCTGCCTGTGATTTTGAGGATCTCCTACAGGTAAGCACTAGGCTATATGATCTGTATCACATATTATTTAAATTTTTGTGTCAGTGCACTATTCCAGCATTTGAGAACTTATTGCCTGAGCCTCACAATGCCATCATTCTGGACCTCCTTTTCAACTTAGCATCATGGCATGGGTATGCAAAGCTTCGAATGCATACCACTGACATGCTAGCTCTGTTCAACACTGCCACTGCTGTCCTTGGTCAATTGGTTTGAAAATTCTACAAGACAACATGTGATCACTATCACACAACAGAGCTCCCTCACAAGCATGCAGCATGAGGACGTTGAGAGGTTGCATTAGCTGCAAAACAACAAGGAACATCTACAACTCCAAGTCAGAAGAGTTCAGCTGGACCCAAGCGCAAGTCCCTTAACCTCTCAACTTACAAGTTTCATGCGCTTGGCGACTATGCTGACACAATCAAGCGGATGGGCACAACAGATAATTATTCTACACAGCTGGTACATTTCATTTTGATATTGATAGCGCTATTGCTCACCTACAATTATATCTCTCCT